CCTGCAAGGTGGGGGGATGTTCCTGTCCTCATGCCCTTTTATGGAATTCCCTACTCTGAGGGTAGGACTGAGCATCCTTTTATGGAATTCCCCGCTCTGAGGGAGGGACTTAGCATTCCTACCTGAGCTGGAGAATATATAAACCTGGAGTTTCAGAACCTTTCCACCACCCGTGGGATCCAGAGGAGGACTGCAACTCACCGCTCTCAACCAGACTGCAGCTCACTGCTCTCAGTCGGACTGAGACCACCACCCTCGGCTGGACTGCAATCACCACTTTTGGTAGGACTGCAACAGCTCTCCCACCAGCAGGTTTTTTCCCTCTCCCTTTGCTTTGGGTTCAGGGGGGTAACCAGGGAGCACCGCTTTGTTTGTGCCCCGGGGTGTTGGGTTGTACATTTTGGCTTTGTGGGTTAGGACCTGTTGCTTGTCTGTGTGGTCATACTTATTGTATTATTTTATTAAATTGTTATTCGGACTTGTAATCTCTCTTTTGAGTTGGGTTGGTTTCCCCTGTTGGTTAACTTTTAAACCAGCACATCCATGCTAATGAATTTCTAGAGAAATCATTTTGAGAAGCACAAATTGATTTGGTTTCTTGAGCTGATCTGGTTGAGATAACCCATGCCTTGCTGTTTCATGCCAAGGATTTCTAGCATCACCCCATCCTCAGAGCCCTCAGGTGGGTAATTTACAGTCACTCCACATCCCCAGGAGACATGTCCATGGACCAGTTGGTTAGTGGCATACCTCTTAATGATAGAGGGATGTGATGAATCCTGTGCTGTTCTCTGCAAGGGTGGGACATAGCTTATCTCAGATATGGAGAGACATAAACAAGTATTCATCTCTGCAGGTGGCTCCTCTCCATCATCGCCATCAGTGACTGATGACCATGGGAGGATAGAGAAAGGCAATCCTTTAGAATGGATTCATTCTAATGCCTCTATACCTAGAGGTCTGAAAAGAAATCAGACCTCAGGTTGTACCCAGGCTTCAGTGGTGAGCCAGTGTGTTGCTTAGGCAATATTACTAAAATTTTACCTCCTTAGCCTTATTCATTCCTGACCCAACTGGGGCTTCATTGGTGCCTCCTATCCTGGGTGCAAGTCTGAAACAAGTCTCAAACAGCAATGCTTTCAAGTGCTTTGCCTCCATGTTTTTTTAAACAACAGCAATAAATTCCAAGGCTTTTACTGTGATCTTATACACATCCTTATAGCACTGTTCAGTACCTAAAGGAGCCCTACAAGAAAGCTGGAAAGAGACTTCTTACAAGGGCACGTAACAATAGGACAAGGGGTAATGACTTTAACCTGAAAGAGGGTAGGTTTAGATTAGATATAAGGAAAAAATTCTTTGCTGTGAGGGTGGTGAGGCACTGGAACAGCTAACCCAGAGAAACTGTGGATGCCCCATCCCTGGAAGTGTTCAAGGTCAGGTTGGATGGGGCTTTGAGCAATCTGGTCTTGTGGAAGGTGCCCCAACCCATGGTAGGGGGGTTGGAAAGAGGTGGTCTTTGATGTCATTTCCAACCCAAACCATTCTATGATTCTATGATATTATCCTATGATCTGTGATGTTCAGGTAGTGGTTGGTTTTAGCCTGACTTCCCAAGGGTGCTACTCCCGCAGTTGCTGCCCCTGCTGAGGTCTGGATCTGCAGAGATGAGACTATTTCTGTGGTTCATCAGTGGCATTCAAAACCAAGTATGACCTTTGTCATCACAGCACTGTGGTGTCATGCATGGTTGCAGGGAGTACATGTGAGTGTCAAGGTGCTCTTTTGGGTGTCACTTCACCATATGTCTTTGTGTGACCAGAGGTGTTTGTCTGTGTTCTGGGCTGCATGGTTAACAAACTTTTCCGTTGAACCCCAATCTCTCTGAATGCACCAAATACTGGTTAAATTGCATCCTTTATAGCGTTTAACTTACTTTTTTAGATTTCAAAATGAAGAAACATTTGTTCATTTCTTTAAAACTATTAGATAGTTATCAGCTGGGAATAGACGACTTAATAACTGGCTTTCTCGGCTTTAAACACTGATCTAAATGACAGTATGTCTGCAGACTCCTGAGTCATCACTTTCTGTTCCAAAATGTATCTTACTAGTGGAAGAAATATTTCTATTTGCTCAGAAATTCCCTTAAAGGTCCTCTGTGCCCTTCTAGTAGACATGGTGGAGATCAAGGGATTTAACACAGGCAGTACTAACTTCAGATCTAACTTGTACTTCTTGAATATTTCTTGAAGTGTGTTTCTCTTAGAGAATTCTATCTATTTGTTAGTTTGAATGTATTTGGAGAATTTTTATAGAATCATAGAATCAACCGGGTTGGAAAAGACCTCAGAGATCATCAAGTCCAACCCTTGATCCACTACTGCCGTGGTTACTAGACCATGGCACTAAGTGGCACATCCAGTCTCTTCTTAAAAACCTCCAAGGACGGAGAATCCACCACCACCCTGGGCAACCCATTCCAATGTCTGATTACCCTCTCTGCAAAAATTTCTTCCTAATATCCAACCTAAACCTCCCCTGGTACAGATTAAGAGCGTACCCTCTTGTCCTACTGCTGGTTGCCTGGGAGAAGAGACCTACCCCCACCTGGCTACAACCTTCTTTCAGGAAGCTGTAGAGAGTGATGAGGTCTCCCCTGAACCTCCTCTTCTCCAGACTAAACAACCCCAGCTCCCTCAACCTCTCCTCATAGGACTTGTGTTCAACTCCCTTCACCAACCTTGTTACTCTTCTCTGGACCTGCTCCAGCACCTCAGTATCCTTCCTGAACTGAGGGACCCAGAAATGGACACAGTACTCGAGGTGTGGTCTCACCAGTACTGAGTACAGGGGAAGAATCACTTCCCTGGACCTGCTGGCCACACTGTTCCTGATACAGGTCAGGATGCCATTGACCTTCTTGGCCACCTGGGCACACTGCTGGCTCATGTTCAGCTTCCTGTCAATCCAAACTCCCAGGTCCCTTTCTGCCTGGCTACTCTCCAGCCACTCTGTGCCCAACCTGTAGTGTTGCATGGGGTTGTTGTGGCCAAAGTGCAGGACCTGGCACTTGACCTTGTTGAACCTCATCCCATTGGAATCAGACCATCTTTCCAGCTTGTCCAGGTCGCTCTGAAGCCTTCCAGCAGATCAACACCCCCCCCAGTTTAGTGTCATCTGCAAATTTGCTGAGAGTGGACTCTGGCGGCAACCTAAATGATACTCTCAGACTGCAGGTTGGCAGGCAAAAGATTTTATTATAAACAAACTTGTTCTTTTTATCTACTTTTTCTCTGTCCATGCACTAATATAATATATGTCATTGGTTAAGTGTTCTTGTTCATGCATCTGTATCTCATCACTAATTTGTCTCTAACTTCTGTGCACGCACCTCATCCTGTCTCCTGACAGGTCATCGGCATCTCTTCTCCTGTCCCAACACATTCCTCTATCTGCGGCTGTTTTTCTTCTCTTTCTCACACTTTCTTCCTTAATGAGGTTTTACTTGTTCCTTTGCCAGGCTGCAACTGTAGCTCAAGGTCAAAGTTGCCTTACTACAATTCCCCCTTTTTGTTTTTAAATTGAAAAATAAGGCTTGGGAGAAACTCTGACCTATTACTTGTTGAACACAAGATATCAAATGGGATACATAATAAAATGCACAAAACTTCAAATAATGTTACAATGACTATCTTTCCAAATTTGACACTAATATTAAAAACATTTAACTTATCAAAAAAGACTATCAAACATTTGTTAGATATAGAAAGGTAAACAAGGAATGAATGCAAAAAGAGAGAATTTCAAACAATGTCAAACCAAATAACCATGGATCAATATAAAACATATTTAGTTAGCTTAAACAAACTACTTAACTTATTCCCGTTATTCTCTATCAGAAATTATTTTAGTTATTGTTTCAACACTTTACCAGAACCGACCTATAAACAAATGGTCTTGAATCAAACTTATCAACTTGATGACCTCAGGGTTTGTACTCCTTAACTTTTAAAGGTGTTTTTAATATAGGGTTTGTTCTTGAGAGCTTTTATTCAATCTAAAAATACTTCTGTAAATGGAACTCCATTCAGTTTAGGGTTATGTGTTTTCTGTTTTTAAGGGTGTCTGTGTATTTGTGAGACAAACCAAAACATACACACATACAAACTCTCGCAGTGACCACTGTCAAACATGCTTTCATACAGACATACTTCTGAGTTTCATGTCACTGTGTTTTATGAACTAAGAAATTATCATTCTTGTGTTTTGCCCTCAGATGAGTAAGATCTAATTATGCATTTCTGTTTTATGAAAATGTAACTTGTAAAATACAAACATATTTCTGTTTCAGGTTCAATTCAAAACTCAAATACATACAAACATTTCTATAGTTCAAAGATAAATATATGTTCTTTCTATTTCTAAAGTAAAACACACACTTCCCCATGCTAATGGGCTTTTGGACTGCAAAGAGAACCTGTTAGTAGTCACTATAAAATACTTCAAAAATTCTACTTCTCCACTACGTTTATGCATATATCTTAAAACAGATTTGGCTATTTAGGCAAGCAACTTTAAGAAACAGTTAGTAAGACCATCTCATGAACCTGTCTTTCCTCACTCCCCCTCTTTTTTTTTCTTTCTTCCCAGTTGGAGGTTGGGGATGAGGGAAAACAGGTTGTTGTGTTGTTTCTCTGTTGTCAGCGTTCATGTCCTGAAAATGAACTGTTAGGTTAGTTGTTACATGAATAATAAACTTTGTTTTGGTTGCTGTTGACTTTGAACTTAGTGTTCCATGTAAGGGCAACTTTCATTCCACTGTTCTTTGAGTTATTTGCTTTTTATATAATTTGTTTGTGACATCTATTTCGGTAGGTGTGGCCAGCACCGCCCAACTAGAGGCCTTCAGCCTCTCCCTTATCATGTAAGTGGAACTTCTTTTGTGCTTGCGTGTTGTATCTCAGGGGTCTTTCTTAACATCATCCTTTTTGTCACTTTCTCTTTCAAATGTTTTTGGAGGGCTGTCAACTAATAGTAAAATATTAATTAATCTCAAATTATACAAGATGTTTGTTTCAGGGGCAAAGTTTTTGTCTATCAGCACTTGCTTTAGGCTAAACACAGACTAAAGTAGCATTATTTAATTAAGTACAAATACATTCTACTACATGGTCTGTGGTTGGACCATGCCACTGTTGAACAACTTAAGCAGCATATTGATGAAAAACAAGGAAAACAACATAAAATATCCATAACAAATGAGTAATAGTAAAAGTGTAGACAATAATATCTTTGTAATCGTATCCATCTTTAGTGAAGAGATCGGAATAGGTTCCAGTTGTTCTTGCTTCATTGGGTCAGCTAGGGTCACCTGGATCCTATACTGTGGTTGTAGGTAATCATAATTTTTTTGCAGTCAGCATACAGGGAGTCAGCATCCTACTTGTGAATGTAGACTTAATCTCCAAGTTGGAATAGATGAACAGAAGTGCTTAATCTCATGCGTTCAGACTACAGAATGAATCTGTGGAATTTCTGCAAAGTAAAACTTAGATTATTAAACAATTTTCATAAAAGAATTTCAAATTTCAGAATTTTTGTAACTTGGTTGTAGGAGAGGAATTCAAGTTTTATAGTACAAAGTAGTTGGTTGTCAGTTATTAATAAAAGGTTGCAGAGAATCATGTAGAACAAAGCAGGTAGTACACTATAACTTGGCACCAGGTGCTGACACTGTCTGTGTTAAATGTTCAGAGCTTGTGTGCTGTGAAGAACCCAAGAGTATTCACTGGATACATACAGAGTAGAAGCAAGTCAACTGGAAGACTTATTTCTTATGTTTATGTGGTTTTCATTAACGTGACAGTAAATGTTCTATATTTAAGTATAATATAAGAGTATAAAGAAAAGTATTCAGGATATGATCAAAATTCACTCAACTAAGGTATTCAGTGTGATAAACAAAGTCTTGAGTTTCTATAAGTTTTGAATAATAGTTTATTATATGGTAAAAGCAAGCAACTGGTTGGGTGACAGAAATGGGACCAGTTTCCCAAATCTGCACACCCCTACTGCAGGGTACATTTAGTATTTATCTTAGCTACTTCATGCATATTAATTATATCATATACATATACATTCGACAGGTTTTTACTAAGAATTTAATATATGGGTTTTCTTACAGCTAAAACTAAAAGGGTTATCTCTACAACCAGTCATAATTCATGCATTCTTGGACGAACAGGCACCAAAAGATTTAAAGTTCTACTATATTTTATTCTTAGAATAGTAAGGAGGTTTTAGGCCTCTTGACCTTGTAAGGGTTTGTTTTATTTCTTTATGGGGATGTAATTAAGTTTTACAATCCGTTTGTTTTATTTTGATGTAATCACCCATTTGTTTCACGAATCACAATTATTTATCACATTCAGTAAAGCAATGTATAAGTTAGACAAAACATTTAAACAACTTGAACAAACCAACATGCTATGATGTTAGCAGTCTATTAGAAGATTTCAGGCAACTAGCCACTTTGTTTTTTAACACAGGGCTTTTCTTTTGTGAGGTTCAACACTTCATGCATTGTTATTTATAATCTTGTGTGGACTTGTAAACTAAGAGGTTTTTTTCATATGTTGCAGTAGTTAGAGAGGACAGAGATATATTCTAAACAATTTTTGCTACTTACTATAAAACTACTGGGATAAAATATATATAAATAATATTAATTTTCATGAAAGACAATAGAAATATAATATCAATAACTATAGTATTGTCTGGTAATTTGACAGTATTATTCAAACTATACTAGCAATCTACCCTTTTAAAGTTTTTCTAGTTTGTATATGATATAGAATTTTGAGTATTTTTTCAAATTCTAACCAAATTCATAATATAAATTCAATCATGTTATAACCTTCTATACTGGAGACAAATGCAAGTTTTGATTCTAACTCTGATTCTTGCTTACCAGCAATATAACACTACATACAGAAAGAATAAGTTAAAACACATTGTTGGTGATGGACTTTCTTAACTCTGGAATAGTAGATCCAGGGATCTATTTGGGCAAGAGGCCTGCTATACAAGAAAGAAAAAACCAATGCATTTTGTTCTTCAAGATGCATGGTCTGCACTGAATGGCTAATGCATGGCTGTGGTTGATGCCCTGATTAATACAAAGATGACAAAAGCAATTAGAACAGTTTCTCTAATTTACTGTATCTTGCATCATCTTCTCAGTCTCGGGCTGGGCTCATGGGGAGCTATAGTTTGGTTCTCCTGTTTATGAGAACTACTAATGATAGATTGAGAATGGATACTTTTTCATTTATGATACAACCAAATGAATAAGGATCACCTGAAGGGATATTAAAGGTATTGTTAGTCACACTAATCAGAACATCTGATGCATCTCAGGTCTTTCAATACAGAGCATACATTTTTTGCACTTCAGATCAAATTAAAGATTTTGTTTCATTTTTTTCTATTTTTCTCTATCAAAATTATAATCAATATTATCTCAGTAAGAAATTAAAAATATAACCATAAAGGTCTTTCTTTACAAAGCACTTTAAAAATGTTGTCTACTATTTCTACTATTTCTACTGTTTCTACTATTTCAAGAGGGAAGGAAAAATTAATTGCTTAAAAGTAATTTACTTATTTTCCAATATATTTAGTATGTTTGAGTCTACAATAGTGGAAAAATACTGTTTGATTATTCTTTTCCATACTCATCTTCAAGCTACATGTGCAGTTCAGAAGGATGGAGAAGGTCAGATTCCAGCTTACAGCTGGTTCCTTAGATGTGATCTATGTTATAAGTAAATCAGCACTAGGTTTTAATATAGTAGTAAAAATTTATTAAAGATTTATATAAAAATCAAATAAGCAAATCAGTGCACTGGGTGGCTTGAGGAGACCCCCGCTCCTTCAAGGCACAAGACTTCAATAAGTTTCAGTCTGTCTTTTATAGGTTTGTAACTGCTCATTTCTTAAAGTCCCCTCCCAATCTTTCGTTTCTCCTTTTTTACATCATCAGTTCTATCTGCGCCTGCTCCACTCTGTTGCCAGGTTTTCTGCTCATGCCCTGTTGATAGGAAACAAACTCGGTTTGTTTTCATTTCATCCTTTTGACGTAGTCAGTTTCCTATGCGCATGGGCTATCTTGTTACTTGAGAAGCAATCTCTGTTATGTTTCGTTTCTTCTTCTTGACGTAATTAGTTCCCTCTGCACATGTGCTGTCTTGTTGCTGAAAAGCAGACTGTTCTGTTTCTTTTCTTCTTCTTGACGTAATTAGTTCCCTCCCCTATTGCTTTAGATATCATTTTATATATACATCTCTAAGATCTATGGGTAACATAACAAAATATCACTCATTATTGTAACATAACATTATGGTTTGTAATTACAGTTTTGCAAATATAAGTTGATAAGCAAATTATCTCTTCTTTGGTCTTTATTGGTTATTACAATTTTCCCCCTTTTTCTATTTATCATTAATTTGCTTATCAAATCTTATTACGGTTTCTCGAGCTGCACTCAAGGTAGGAAATTGTTCAGTTTTAGGTGTTTCTTCGTTCGATTCAAGATATTACTGTCTCATTACCATAAGTTGTACCGTTTCAATCCTACCTTTAACAAAAGTCACAAATTTATTCAAGATACAAGGACCAAATGTCAAAGTAATTAACAACATTATTAGGGGGCCTATTAGGGTAGAAATTAAAGTAGTTAACCAGGGTGATTGGTTAAACCACGATTCAAACGAACTCTGTTGAGTTTCTCTTTCCCTTTTCCTTTGAAGAATTCCTTCACGTAATTTAGTCATAGATTCACGAACTACCCCCGAATGATCTGCATAAAACCAACATTCTTCTCCTAATGCAACACATAGCCCCCCTTGTTGTAAGAATAGTAAATCTAATCCTCTTCTATTTTGTAGAACTACTTCAGAAAGTGAAGTAAGAGACTTCTCTAAGTATGATATTGATTTTTCGATTCTCACTAAGTCTTCATCAACTGCTTCTCTTAGAGATGATATCCCTTTATTTTGTTCAACAAGGGATGCAATTCCCATCGCCGCCCCCGCTGTTCCCAGACCAAGGAGCATGGCAATAGTTATGGCAGTAAATGGTTCCCTTTTTTGTATCCTGTGTTTATTATCATCCCAATGGTCAAAAATCGATTCCTTCGAATGGTAAAGAATTCGGGGTATTATCGTTATCTGAACACAAATGTCTTTACTTTCATTAAATATTCGTAAAGACAAACAGGGAGTTACACCAGTCTTAGAGCATATCCACCATCCTTCTCCGCCAGGTATAACCCATTTCTTGGTTTTATCAAGTTTCTTGATTGTATAGCTGCATAAGTCTCTTTTAGTTGGAGGTACATTTCCTATGCACACTCCCTGTCCTCTCACTTGCTGGAGAGTGATTCCTATCTGTTTCTCTCCCCAATTACATTGTATAGGGTTGCCTTGATTGGATATTTTAAATGAGGTGTTCAGAGCTATCCCTTCATAGAATGGAGGTTTGATGTCATAACACAACCAACAGGAATTAGTCATGTTAGAGTCTGTGTGGTTAAGTGTGTAATAGGCCACTTGCATCAACTTTAACAATAGTTCTGTTTTCCCATATACCTTGGTGTAGGTTGAGGTTCTACTAGAGTCGTTAAAACTTACAGTCGGGGCAGTTGAAACTGTGGAAGTTTTTCTTTTCCTACTCTCTTTCTGATTTAAGTTATCCTCTTTTTTCTTTATGACCTTATTGGGTCCTATTGCCAGAGGGTGGTGGGTGATTTCTTTTTTTTTTATGAATATCAACCGCCCCCTGTCTGTTCCATGTTCCCAGTATCGGATTCCCCAAGTTCTTCCTATTAACCATCCTGAGTCCTCTGGTTGCATTACCTGGAGGGTTATATACTCACAATGGTTTGTGGTGGTTTCACTCTAGGCCTTCCTGGAGATCAACTTGTAACCAGGAAGGAACTAGAAAAGTGATCACGGAAGTATTCCATGCTATTCCTTTACGTAACTGGAGGTATAAATAAAGCCAGTGGGAGGGATCGCGTTCTCTTCCTCTCCGGCGAGGTTCGAGAACAGTGGGTCCCTGTTTCGGTTGGGCTTATCTGGAGCCGAGGTCTACAGTGACTGCCGTTATCCGCCACGCGTGAGGGAGAGCCTAGGACCGCGTCAGGTCATTCTGCCTGTTTGAAGGGAAGTGGTGAGATTTCTGCTAGTTTGCCTTTGGCTGGCTGTTTGCCTTGCTCGGTCCTTCCCCTTTTTTTTTTTCCCCCTTTCCCCCCCCCCCCCCTCCCCCAGGTGTGTGGTATTTTCCTTTTGTGTATCTGTCTCTTATGTAAAAAATATATATATATATATTTGCTATAACTTTGGCTGCTTAGTTTTTTTTCCCTCTTTTCCCTCTTTGGGAGGCGGGTCCTTGTTGTCGAGTTTCGGGGGACTTGGCGGGAAACCAGCTTGAAACTTGTACAACGTTTCTGGTAGTAGAGGATGGTTATTTTG